CTTTCGGGAAATCAACACTCACCTCCTGATATTATTGACAGCAAAAGGCCACTTTTGCTATTTAACCTACCTAAGGTGCCTACCTACCATCCTTGGAGTTTACCTTAACCCACTCACAACTACGTCAACTAGTATTGTCTAGGCATAGCTTGTCAATACACAACGAGAATCGGAACAACAAAGATACCGGAGAAAAATGAGCACGACAGAAGATCGCCCGCCTGGAGATCCAGCGCCCGAGCTCCTCGAAGGAAGACTTTGGATAGATGGATGTTTTGATTTCTTCCATCACGGTACGTGTGTTCTACTCAGTCCTCAGACTGAACACTTTTGTAACGCATGACGAAGGCCATGCCGGGGCTGTGGTACAGGCCCGCCAGCTGGGCGACGAGCTCTATGCCGGAGTCCACTCGGATGAAGCCATCCTCGAAAACAAGGGACCAACGGTCATGACCCTCAGAGAACGGTACGGACCAGCTTCACCTTTTATTTATTTCCGTGAACCCGGCTGATCTTACCACCCGTAAGACTACTCGCTACTGACGCGTGTCGATGGGTGACCAAGACGATCCCCCACGCCCCGTACGTTACCCAACTGGACTGGATCAGCCACTTCGGCTGCAAGTACGTCGTCCACGGCGACGACATTACCTCGGACAGCAGCGGAGAGGACTGCTACCGCTTCGTCAAGGCGGCGGACCGCTTCAAGGTCGTTAAGAGGACCCCGAGCATTTCCACCACCGACCTGGTCGGGCGAATGCTGTTGTGCACTAGGGATCACTTCATCAAGTCGCTCGAGAAGAGGCTGGCCGGAGAAGAGGGCCCCGGCACGGAGGCGGAGTGCAAGGCGACCGGCGAAGCGATGCTTGATAGAATCAAGCTCTACGCCACGGACGAGACAGCCAAAAACCCTGGCGCTGAGGTGTGGTGCTGGTCCGCCCATGTCCAGAATACGCCCGAGGACACTGGTTCCTTCAGACAGTTACTCGACGGCAAGAGACCAAAGCTGGGCCAGCGCGTGGTCTATGTCGATGGCGGATTTGACCTTTTTTCTAGTGGACATATTGAGTTTCTCCGCATGGTGACACAGGCCGAGGAGGAGCTGGCGAGACAGGAGGGCTGGTACTCCCAGCAGGCAATCGACGAGCGGAAAGGGAAGGGCGAGGATTATGGTCCGGTCTTCGTCGTTGCTGGAGTTCACGATGACCACGTCATCAACAGGGAGAAGGGAGTCAACTACCCGATCATGAATATCTTTGAGCGCGGACTCTGTGTCCTCCAATGCAAGGTGAGTCCGTTGTTGAGTCCTTTCAAGCATCATCTCCGCTTTGACTGACAGCTTGCAGTACATCAATGCCGTCGTCTTCGGCGCGCCATTCACTCCCACCAAGGCGTACCTTACCTCATTTCCGTGGGGCACGCCTGACGCAGTCTACCATGGACCAACCGCCTTCATGCCGCTCACCGACGAGGTCTACAACGCTCCGAAGGAGATGGGGATCTATCGAGAAATAGGACCTCACGAGTTTGAAGACGTCAATGCTGGTACGATAGTTGACAGGATTATGAAGAACAGAGCCCTCTACGAGGCCCGCCAGAAGGCCAAGGGCATGAAAGCGGATGTGGAGGCCGCCCACAAGCACCGCGAGATGCTGGAGGAGCAGCAGCGGAAAAAGGAGGAGGCTCTTCGATAATCGTAGGATGATACGAATGACGGGGAAACCATCAACTACCCACATACGGTAACGGGAAAAGGAGGCAAAGGTCGTTCAACAGACCTTGGATAAGGTTCTGATAATAGGTAACATAGATAGCACATGGTATAGAGTAGACAGATAATGAGTAGAAAGTTGATGCGGAATAATCATGTTTGAGTAGCTAAAATCGTAACTAAAACCGAGAGAAATTTGTCTTTTTGAAAGTTCATCAGATACCATAACGCATTATTTAGTCCGCATTGGCGTTTTATGCCTCAGAGCTTGACTCTATAAAGGTTTATCATCACCTGAACTTTAGACATCCCCCAGAGCCCACGACTTGAAATTCTTCCCGAGACTTGTGGTAGAATGGACAGGATTGACTTCCTGTGAAGCCCAGAGTGTTCAGCGTCCCTCCTGCTTCCGTATCAAGGAAAGAAAAACAAGTGAATGTTTGAAGCAGCCCCCTCGCACCAAGAATAAGCCCCGTCGAGTAACTCGTAATCTCCAGAGAAAGACGAGCAATCGCATTACTGTGTGATCGTGACGAAAGACTCTCGAGCCAGTCATAACATCCCCAGTCCAGACCGAGCAACGGCTGCCGTACCATCGACCCAAGGCACCCACCGCTGAACAAGTCAGCGCATCCACCCCAGGCAGCCAGAGCGCGGACTCATATCTTCGTCCATGTTGGTCTCCGACCCGGGAATAGATGACTGAGAGCCCAACGAGTCGAGAATTAGGCCGACTTCGCGGTACACAGGGCCACTCCAGACAGACAAGGAACAGACGGTCGAGATCAGCCGCAGTGCTTCTATGGCGGCGCGTTTCCGCAGCACGCTTTGTGAAAAAGCGCTTGTCCGGGGACTTTCTCCCAAAGCTTGAAATGAAAGAAGAAAGCACGAATGCTTAGATCTCTCCGTTTGTGAGCTTCGATAGCGATTTGTTGGGCGAGGGGGTTGCTTGGAGAAGAGAAGGGAAAGAGAAGGAATTGAGGTTCGAAATTTCTTTAAATGCACGGAAACGGGGAAATTTTGAAAGTGGGGTTCTCTGCCACTCATTCACACCAGCCTCAGCTGGGCACATTATTAGCCACACCCACGCACCGACCCACCATCGCTGGGGTGCCACTAGCGGCTTGGTGTGCAGCTCTAGGCGTCCAACGCGCGCCGTGTCGAAACTCTTTGACGTGAAGCTTCGACCTCACTTTCTGCCGCCCTCAAAAAGTAACGATTTTTGACTGCGATTGCCAGCTCCTTCCAGCACCCGTATACGACTTCACAACCACCAACCCGCATCGACCCATTGATCCGAAACCAGCAATACTACGGATACTGAGCGTTTTATATAACGCGCGTCAAGATGGCGGGTATTTTCGGCGGCCAACCGGCGGCGACGCAGAGCCAAAACAACACACTGGGCGACCTGAAGATGGATGTTGCGCTTGCGAGCCCGCCCGAGGACAGCATCACAGACCTCGCATTCAACCCCACAGGAAATGACGATCTGTTGGCTGTAGCAAGTTGGGACAAGAAAGTACGCATATACCAGATCCTCAGCAACGGCTCGGGCGAGGGCAAGGCCTTGATAGAGCATGACGGACCCGTCTTCTCCTGCGACTTCTCCAAAGTATGTTCAACCTCCTTCCCTGGGCGTGTTGCCAGACCTCTAACAAATTCCTTAAACAGGACGGAACGAAGGTACTCACTGCCGGCGCCGACAAGCAGGGCAAGGTGATGGACCTCGCCTCTGGGTCAGTACAGCAGATCGCGGCACACGATGCGCCGATCAAGTCGATTCGCTACTTCGACATCAACGGCTCGCCGATGGCCGTCACCGGCTCGTGGGACAAGACCATCAAGTACTGGGATTTCCGGGCCCAAGCGCCCGTTCTGTCGGTGACATGCCAGGAACGCGTCTACACCATGGACGTGCGGGACAATCTCCTGGTGGTTGGCACCGCCGACCGGTACATCAATGTCATCAACCTCAAGGAACCGGCCAATTTCTACAAGACCATCCAGAGCCCGCTCAAGTGGCAGACGCGAGTCGTCAGCTGCTTCACCGATTCGCACGGATTCGCCATTGGCAGCATTGAGGGACGTTGCGCGATCCAGTACGTGGAGGAGAAAGACAATGCGTAAGGATTTTCTCAACTGTTGGTTGGCCTGATGTTCACTAACAAACAAAACAGGTCAAACTTCTCGTTCAAATGCCACCGCGACACGCCACAAAACAATGTTACCAACGTTCACGCGGTCAACGACATCTCTTTCCACCCAGTACATGGAACGTTCAGCACAGCCGGTAGCGACGGCACGTTCCACTTCTGGGACAAGGATGCCAAGCACAGGCTCAAGGGATATCCCAACGTCGGGGGCAGCATCACAGCGACCAAGTTCAACAAGAACGGCACGATCTTTGCCTACGCCATTAGCTATGACTGGAGCAAGGGATATCAGGCCAACAGCGCGAGCTATCCGACCAAAGTGATGCTACATCCGGTGCAGAACGACGAGTGTAAACCGCGTCCAAGCGTTAAGAAGAGGTAGAGTGATTCGATAATTAAATGGACAGTGGATTAATTTGCTTTTGAATATGTAGTGCACTGAAGAAGTAAAGCCAGATGAGTTTGGGAGAGAAAGGGGGCGAACAAGATTCGGTTGTTATGGGAGAGACAGGAGAGATGGGAGATCCGTTGGGGGTTGGGCTAGTCACCTAGGGGTCCGTCAGTGTGGTGGCGTAAAGAAAAAAACATTTGATACCAAACGTGCGGGTTTATGCGTTGGACGACTGGAGGTGTGAAGAAAAGCGACCTATGTTGTTTGGCAATCGAGGAAGGAACCGCGGCAGAGGGAAGCATGACGCGACGGTCACAGGCTGGAGTTCAACGAAAAGGGAATTTATCTGGCCGAAGGACATTTAGTTATGTAGATAGTAAGCTATGAAGAGAAATGCTCGCAAAAAACGCTGTGAGTTATCGTGCAATGCTGACTTGGTCAGAATGAAGTGTTGCAGCTCCGAAGGTCAACGAATAGATCTATTCTATCGTCACGTTCGAGACAAACCAAATACAGACCCACAATACTATATATATTCAAACCTTTTAGACTCGCATCCTACGCACTGGACAGATCTGTTCCGCGAATATACTACCTAGACCTGAACTCTCAACATGACGAGGGCCGTCAAAATTCAAGAACCGGTAGGTCAAGGTTGTACCAAATTAAAAACAACTGTTACCAAAGCAAAAACATGATGTAGAAAAAAAATCATACCCTTAAAAGAAACAGAAAAAGAAAGGTCCCAGTGCGGGATTCGAACCCACGTCTGCGATTTTGCCGTAGCATTTATCCGAAGATATCGCAATGTTGCCCATTACACCAACTGAGCTACTTATTTATCCGCAATCTTGCTGACGTTCTCTAGCAGTTAATTACCAAAAGATATTTGGAGAAAATCCGTAGCGAGGCGGAAGAAAAGGTGGGGAAAAAATTGTCCCAGTGCGGGATTCGAACCCACGTCCGCGTTGAAATTGGTTAACACGATGTTGCCCATTACACCAACTGAGCTTGCTTTACAACTTTGATGCGATAACCATTCAGAACCGGTGAATATATGCAAGTGTCAGTCGGGTTGGCACACCACCGTTGCCATTGAGGACGCCAAGCTGTGAGGCGTCTATTCTGCCTATGCAGCCTAGGTAGCTGCTCTGGTCAGCCTCAGGCCAGACAGGAGCTGGGCGTTTTCAGCCTTGACGAGTATTCCGTACCTGAGGTAGGTAGGTGGCCTGGATGAAAAGGAGGATCGGTATCGAGGTCGCGGTGTGTACCTTGATGCGTGCAGAGGTTGCTCGCAGCTACCTCTCCAGAAAGGCCTTCTTATTCCTATGAGCCTTTCCTTACGGGTACCAGCCTAGGAGGGTTGGTTTACCCATCATACAGGTACAGGTTGAGAAAGAGTTTGGGCGACGGGACTTGACTTCGAATCCGCACCAAGGTCGAAAAGTGTCGATTTCTTTCAGCTGGCGGCCAGATTTATGGACTGGACAGGCTGGGCGGTCGACAACGAGAAGAGTCACGACCTTTTAACTCCAACAAGTTTGCTCGGTATATCGGTATAGCCGGCGCTAGTATAGCCGGTCGTAGGTACGGAGACTGCCATTACAATGCTCGGTGCTCGGCAAAGAAGCTATCATGGCCCCACAACACATGTCGTCGGGAAAAAGGGCATGCGGCTCTCGCAGAAGCCGGGCGTGGTGGGGAGTTTCCACTTTCCAAGTTTTTGGCTGATGAGTTTCATGTGTGTCGTGAGGCGTTCGTCATTCTGCCTTGGTCAATGTGTCAAAAGTGCTGTCCGGGCTGGATCCAGCCTTCTTGAAGCATATCAGATCTGTAGGTCAGACCGTCAGAGTGATGAACTTCAGAACATGATGCTCAGAAAAGATAACAACGTCAGCTTAAACCCTATCCCCCGGACCGAGGTGCCCGGCTCGGGGCTTCTTCGTTCCAGCAGGGCTACCCAAGTTCGTTCTGACATGTCTGTGATGGTGTTGGAATCAATATTGTTAGGAAAGACAGTCATCAGGAAACGAATCCCGAGGAAGGCTCCCGAAAGGCGATGACTCTTGTCCAGACTCCAGCAGAGATGTGATGATCCCGGAGTTTCTACCCCACGACGAATGACTGTCAGTGGAGGACGGATTCTCCAGAATCTCCAGAGTCGCCAAATGGCTCCAAACTTCCCCTGAAGCTTGGGGTCGCCGGGTCGGTGGGCGGTGGGATGGCCCCCGATCAACGGAGTTCGGCAATTTGGTTCTGTGGATTTTGTTGACTCTGAGACTAAACCGTAAAAAGTAATTGCCGAACTCGCCAAAACAGCCTCCCCAGGCCACACCATGCGGGCGGGACGGGATATGGCCCAAGCTCCCCCTCAACAATGTGGATAAGTACCCCAGAGCTTCCCCACCATTTGCGCTTGTCAAAGATCACAAGACCAGACTGCCTGAAAGACGCGAGATTCGACTTGTTTTGTTCTGTTCAGGTCGGTTACTGGTGCGGTTGTTGAGAAATGGGGTATGTGTTCTCCGCCAGCGCTTGTTGTCATTCTTGGCGGCCTAATACCGGTAGGTACGGAGTACATGTATGGATAGGATGAAATACAGATCATAGTAACCCGTACCTGAGCGCCTGATAAAGTCTGATAACAGACGATAAATGTGACGATCTCAGACCGGAAAAGCCCGTAACTTTCTAGCTGCTGGCTAGCCGTGCAAGGGCCTTGCAATCGCTTTGTTCTTTTCCCGCCGTTCTCACACGGGAAAAGGGGGGAATCATGGCTGGTTCCAAATTTTGGTCCACACGGGGTACCTCTGCCTCAAAGTTGTTGTGGAGAGGTACCGTGTGAACATTCCATGCATTATTCCTGTCCCAGTCAGTGTCCACGTTCTTGGTCTTGGCTGGGCGATTGTCAGAAGAAAGAGGGTCGGAGGTCCGGGTACCTGCCTTACCTGCAATTTATATCGAAGCTCTCGCCCACCACACCTTCACTTACCTCTTCTTTCATCCATCATCACTTCCATCCCTCTGTGTCGCCAGTCTCTGCCACTATTATCGTGTCCTACCTCGGTGTTGCTGCGTGCAATTGAACGAAGCACTTTACTTTTCTACATTCTCAAGTGCAGATCACAATGTCGTTCCGTATACCGACCCCCGTGTCCAAGTTGATGGCTCGGTCCATCAGCTCAACAGCTCAAGTTGCTCGGCCGACTAACCTTCTCAACAATGGCTCCAAAACTGCCGCTGGTTCAAGGAAACGACAGCCCAAAGCAAAGAAGGTTGCCGAGGACGCCGATGCTGCCGAAGTAAGTTCTACTGCTGTTGTACGACGTTATGATCACCTCGGACCGCAATCACCGAATGCTGCATACACCGGACTGCGATTCACCGACATGGTTGCCGGTCTATCCCGATGCTCTCGCATCATCACCCCCAAAATCCGATTGTGTACCTGTCTTATCCTTTAATCGGACACGCAATTGCTATCAGTCATCGTCTTTTATCCATTTTCATGAAGTGCCCCTGTGTTGAAAGCAATAACCACCACTTATACCAAACGAATCACTAACATCCCCTGTCTTAATTAGTACTCAACAAAATCAACAACAACCCCCCACAGGCCACACCTCCCCCAAGTGCAGCGCACCGGCCGCACCAACATCCCCCTGATGCAAGGCTTTCGGACTTCAGCACCGAAACCGACAAGGCTCGACACCTCAACAATTGACTTCGCCTACCTCCCCAACCTCCATTTGGAAGCAGCGTCCCAACCAGACCCGTGGATGAACATCCGCGTGCCTTTGCTGCCGGACAACGATTCCCCTGCCCCCGGTTTCCGGAAACCTGAGCAGACCGACGCGCCGCTCGCGAGGCCCGAGATTTCTGTTGTGGCAGCCAACCCGGAGCAGGTCTACCCTGCCTCCGCGCTCACAGAGGTCGAGGGTATGGGCGTCGACGGTGTCGAGCTCAAGTTTGTGCGCAATCTCCATGATTCTACCTCGAACGATCTGGGTCTGGGTGGCCAGGGCATGATCAAGGATTTGTGGAAGGGGTTGGTTGATGATCTTGGTTTTGGTGCCAACGGTAAACAGAAACCTGCTTAACCATACTCTTTTTCTCTTCTGGATTTCTTGGTGTTATTACTGTTGGTTTAATAGCGTTTTGTAATTCTTTTATTGTTTGGGAGGCAAAGTCACTGGGCTGTTGTTCCTATGAGGCCTGTTCGAGGTTACGATTGAAACGGACGATCCTTTCTTATCAGATCACAGGGTTCTGTCTTGGTTTAGATGAACAATCAACAATTTTATAGTATTGTACATCTGTGATTTTATTGCGGAAGGCGAAGAGATACAGTATCCAAGGCACAGAGTATTCAAGATACCCTTATGTGATGTGCTACTACAGAATATCATACATAGCTCAGTTGGTGTAATGGGCAACATGGCGATCTATAAGTTTACATCGCAGACGTGGGTTCAAATCCCGCACTGGGACCTATCTTTTTCTTTTTTTTTTTTTTCTCTACCTATTTCTTTTTAAATCATCCTTCTACTATAGTGATAGGTATCTAGGCACTCTAGGTTACAAGAGTATGTTCTTTCCTTGGTACAACCTTGAGCTACCTGTTCTCCTTTGAGTTACAGGTAGTCGGTTACACACTCAAGACATGAATACAAACCAACCAAGGAACGGCACACGCCGGTCATCTAGGGAAGTTCCATGGCCAGTTCAGAACATCATGTTTTCAGTCAGAAAAAAAAAACGATGGTATGCCTTACAAATAAAACAAGCAAACACAATTCCCAAGAGACAATAAAAAGAACAAATACACTCTATATACCAGTCCCTAATATAACTAATCAGTATACCCCTTCCCGTTACTCCCACCATGGCTACTATGACCGCCCAACATCCCCTGACTCTGCCCGCTTCGTCGCCGCCGTCCCATAACCTCGCTCACCCAATCTGACAACCGGAAACCCCAATGACCCGCAACCAGCGCGCCGCTGAGCACATTGATCACTTTGATCAGAAACACAAAGAAACTGTCTCTCGACTCGACGATATTCAGCAGGATCGGCTCAATGTCGTACTTGAAAAAGATGCCAGGAATAATACGATCGTTGATCTCCTGGCTCTGCTCGGTAACGGCGTACTGGTTCGTGAAAATCGACGCGGAGCCCATCTTGCCCGGGTCGCCGACGCTATAGGCGGTCGGCACGACAGACATAAAGTACTGGAACTTGTGGAAATGGTTGGGCGCCGCGTTGACGGTGCGGTCGAGCGGGTTTACGAGAGACGGCAGGAACGGACCGAACGAGAGTTCCGAGATGATATGCGAGAAATTGAATGCTTTGTCAAAAAGTCAGTCAACTGATCCCACACACAGATAGGGGCGGGACAAACCGTTATGGTCCAAATGCTCCCCAAATTCCATGTACCCATGACCTCTAGCCGTGATATGAAAGTCCCCCTGCACTTTATTCAGCGACAGACTCCCAAAAATCCGACAGCTATCCGCCTCTTTGCCCCAAAGCCTCGGCGTCTTGCCCCACCGCGCCTTTTTTCTTCCGAGGGCAACGATATCGTGAATATGTTCCTCCCCAAAACCTTCTTCTCCGATTGTAGTGTACCCCTCGCCCGTGATCACCCGGCCCTGCGCGTCCCTTCCCAGCTTATGCATTTCTTTGGCATCGACCCACTGCGCCCAGTTGGTCGGGTCCCGCGTCAGTTTTGTCCCTGCCAGAATCCGGTCGCCCGCGGCGTCCTGCACGTTAATATGCAAATCCGCGCACTTCATCTTCACCACGATATCCAAATTAATATCCATCGAGTGCGAGACGCCCTTCTCGACGGCAAAGGTGTGCGTCTCGGTCCCGCGCCACCAACGCGATAGTTCGGACCAGAAGAGAAGGAGGGAGATAATAATCATAGCGACGGTCCATTTCCCGCCGCCCGAGGTCCGTTCGACGTATTGAGGTTTCGCCTTGGCTGTGTTGTGTCAAGTCAAGTCGTCAGCCAGATTTCCCCAAGGATATATGTTAAAAAGGTTGGTGTAGGTAAGGTACTTACGAAACGCATCAAACGCGCTGACTATCCCTCCGCTCTTGGGCCCAAAGGCATCATCGTCCAAGTGGCCATGTTTCTCCTCGTACCCGTTCATCATGACGGTGTCGGCCGTTTCGTTCTGTACGATGGTTTCTATCGTAGTGCGAGCTTGTCTCACTTTGTATGTCCCTCCCCCTTCAGCCTTGTGAGGGGCCCCGTCCGTATCCGCCTCCTTCTTTTCCCAATCAGACAGACAGTCGCCTTGTTGTATTTTCGAATATCTTAGAAAGCCAAACTCAGTCCAGCGTGGAGTCGTGGGCGTTGTCGCAAAAAAAAAAAAAGGAAAAAGGCGTGTGGTATCCCGCCGACGTCCCTGGTTTCACGTCCGCATCGGAGACGGGCGCACGGTTGGACTGACACCTCGATAGGCTGTTCAGTTAAATCAGGAAAAGAGAGAAAGGGTCCAAAATCTATAGGTCAAAAATAGTTAAAACAAGAGCGTAGTCGAAAGAGAAAGGGCGTTCGCTCCGGTCAGGATATGCTGACACACACTGAACCCGTCGATGTGGAAGCTGGCAGCTGCTGTTAGCTCGACGTCAATCTTGAGGACAGCTTGACCAAAACTTTCTTGGGCCTGGGCCGCCGCCCGTTGCAGCCAGCCGACCGGGGTTTGGGACTTGGCGCAGATCGCCTGACGCAGGATGACCAATGAGAAGAGTTGAATGGCTCAATTGGCAATTGGCGGGGCTCACTGGCCTGGCCTTACGGTTGAGTGGCGCATCGTTGTAAGTCCAGTGTGGGGTTCAGTGTTGGGGGCATCAACTTCAGTCCTCAGATCATCATATTAGATGCAGTGATACGAATAAGTCTGATAGCATTAGCAGATACACCGACTTCGCCAATACTGACTTCATTTTTAACCATCTGTAGATTAAGAAAGGCGAAATGCTTACACATCAGTCCAAACTTGGACCATAATCAACTCACGATATTTTCCTCAAGTGCTCAAGAACAAACATGGAACAGCACTAACCTCGCCAGAAACCACGACACATCAGTTCCAGATCCACCCGACCACAAAGAACCCTAGCAAGCAGCATCTGTCTCCGTAACAAATCAATACCGCTCCATAATCCACCCCCGTCTCTCATCCTCCGTCATCTCCCCCAAAAAGTCCAACTCGAACCCCTTCAGATTCACATACCTCTCCACCAACTCCTCGCCAAGGTATCCCACCAGCTCCGCGTCATCCTGCAGCGCATTCAACGCCTCCTCCACACTCGCAGGCAACATCTCCTTCACCCCAAGCTCCTTCCGATCATTAGCCGTCAGTTTCGCCGGATCGATCTCACAGTCCCCCCAGACCATCTTCTCCTTGTTCCTGACACCATGCGTTCCGGCCAGCAGGACCGCCCCCAAAGCAAAGTAGGGGTTTGCCAAACCGTCCATACACTTGAGCTCCCAGTGGCTATCCTCGACCTTCCTCAACGCAGTCTCCCTGTTCTGTGTGCCCCAGGTCACCCACCGCCCGCCCGCCCAGGCACCATCAAGCACACGCTCAAACGAAGCAGGGTTGCTGTATGTAAACGCAGTGATGCCCCTCAGATGCTTCAGTATCCCGGCGTAAAAGGACTCGTACACCTCCGGCTTGGCGCCGTTCTCCGACGAGATCGACATGTGCGTGTGCGCCGCCGTGCCGCAGGCGTGCGCAAACGGCTTCGGATGCAGCGTGATCTTGAAGCCCGCCGCGGTGGCGAGGGCGGCCATTGTGTCCCGGGTGTGCAGCAGCGTGTCAACCGCCTCCACCGGCGGGACCGGCGGGAGGATGAGCTCGAACTGACCCGTTGCGCTCTCGGCGTGGAGCTGCTCGACAAAGATCCCCATGTCCTCCAGCTCGGCGACCATGTCCCGCAGTAGTTTGGATATCTTTGGGTCGGCGAAGTAGCGGGACACGGACCACGCGTGACCGTCCGTCATGAGGGTTCCATAGCGTGCCGCTGTTGCATTGGTGCCGGCGGCGCTCGTCCCGGATACTGGCCGGTCGAAGCGCTCCAGCAGCAGAAACTCGATTTCGAATCCCAGGAGAAACGTAAGCTTGTTATCGACGCCAAACTCTACCGCCCGTTGAAGGACAGAGCGAGGGCAGAGAGGCACGCGAGCGCCGGATTTCTCGCGGAACTCGGCGTACATGGATATGTGTCCCTCGATCGGCCCCTTCTTTAGAGATGAGAAGTCTGGGTGTAGGCGGTACTCCCCAACCGGCGGGACGCTCGGTATAAGCCAATCGTTTTGGATCATGCCGAACACCGCTTTCGGAATCGATATATCGGTCGGCCTGCCCTCGTTCAAAAGGGACATGAACTTACGAAAGGGGACCATGCGCATCCGCGCGGATGCGGTGAAATCATTCCAACAGATGCGGACAAAGTCTGGCGTTGACGGACATTGGTTCTTTAGGAAGGCCTGGAGGAGCTCGATATCGCTTGGTAGCGGGCCGAGTTCCATGTCGGATTCCTCTTCCAGCTCCGACAGCTCCAGTCCGAGATGGTAAAGCTTGTTGGCGTTCTTGAAGAGAACGTTTTGCACAAGCTCGATGGCTGCCCGGCATCCAATGTGTCCCTTCCGGACATAGTCGCAGAGGACCTGTTTGTCAAAGTTAGGTAAAAAACGCAGTCCCGTAGTAGTGCTTCAAGTTCATACCATCTCAAAAACTTCGCGCATCTGCATGATAGCAAGGATATAAGTCTCTGGAAACCAATGCCCATCCGTGCTCCAGAGAATCTTGGACCACGGGCAGAGCTCCAGAATCTGCCGCAGAAGCCGCTCCTGGCCATCCTGGCTGACGCAAGGAAACACCTCGCCAATATCAGCGTACACATTCTCGTACACCGACGCCAAATACCCAACCTCGCGGGTGAAGGGATAACCGGCATGGAGGAGCACAATCGGTACCGTTGGGTAGGTGCGGATGAATTCCTGCAGATGAGACGGCGAGGATTTGGGCAGCGTGATATCATTATCCCCCAGCCCGGTGTGGAACTGGATCGGCTTCTTCTTCTCGCGGCCCCCGTTACTGTCCCGGATGAGCATAGCGGTGCGGTGCACGACGAGGCCATTCAGGCTAACCTCCTGCAGGCGAGTGAAATCCATGAGGGTAAAGTTGGTGATGATCTCCCCAAAGGCCTCGCGCGCGGCGTCCTCGTCGACCATCTTGGCCACATCCAGGCCGGTCCGGTAGCAAATTACCGACTTGAAACCCACGACATCTGGGTCCTCAATGGCGGCGCGTATGTGCCCATCGAACTCGCTGATCCACTCGGAAAAGGCATCATCAAGGACGTCATCGACAGTCACGGTGGATGCGTCACAGTTCCGGCCGATCTTCTTGAGGATGTCGGCGGCGACTTTCTCGATGCGGACGATGCGTTTGCAGCCGCTGCGGGTGT